GAGGATCAAAAGAGAGAGAGGCAGGGGGGACGCACCGGAGACGACCAAGTCGAAGCTCCCGTCCGCGTACGGCAAGCGCGGGTTTTTGTTCAGATCCTGGACCGTAAACCTGCGGAGACGGTTATCAGATAGGAGAAGGAAAGGGTCGAGTCTGTCCTCCCTTCTAGATCATGTCAAATCCTCTTCCCGTATCGCGTGGCGGTCGGGGGTAACCGAGGAGGGGAAGCATGAACCAGAGACAGGGCGCACGACTGGTAGAAGATGAAAAAGAGGCCGCATCGACGGTCGTCGCGTCGCACGTAGCACGGCCGTTACCTGGTCCCCACCAAGTGAGCATTCGGTTAAGGATTTGTGGCACTCACTCGGTCAGTTGCGGGTTCAAAGCCAGTTCTTCGGCGCTCATTCCCAGTCCGGCCACGCGGCACCGCATGCCAAGAGGGTCTTGTCCGTCCGCCTCCTGGGCCCTTGTGTACGACGGGGGGAAGTGGCTGACCCTGCGTGCCGACCCGTGAGAGGAGGCGGGTGGGGGGGGAGGATGGGGGAGAGGTAGCTGGTGAATTAATCATGGGGGAGCATAAATTCCCTTCCTCCCTGTCTCAGCAACGTGGAGGGGATTGAAAAGGATAGGGGGGAGATTGCATGCGCATTCCTACCAAGACGCCCCCACGTCCAAGATGTCCAAGAGCCGGCCGCTCTCGCCATACAGCCGGTCTCCCACCTCCTGAAAGGTCTCCCGGTAGTAGGCGCTCAGGGACCGCACGGCTGCTTTGTCGATGTGCTCCACCAGCTGGAGGGGGGGTGAGAGGGAAGGGGAGGGGACGAAGGGAAGGAGGAGGGGAAGGAGGAGAGGGAGGGCGGGCACGTGACGACCGGTTGTGCAACGGTGAGACACCGGTTTCCTTCCCACCGTACCTTAGGTGTATCGTAAAAAAGCGCATCGTCGGTCTCGTCGAGCCGGGCAAAGTCCGACTTGACGTAGGGAGGTAAGGGCTCGGGCCACAAGGCCTCCTCGCTTTTGCCCTCCAACAACCCATCAATCTCCCCCTTGCCCGGCCGCCGCGCTTGTTCTCCGCTTGCTTGGGCCGCTCGAGGACGGAAACGTGTCTCGTCTTGCGCTATCCACGCCATGTTTTTGCCCTTGTTTGTGCCTTCCGTCGGATTGCTTGCTTTCCTCCCTGCCAGTATCGCCGCCGCCGCAAGCCCCCCCC